GATTGTGGATTTGGGATTTTCATGAGCTGTAAACCATAATCATCACAATGATGACAAATCACAGCTTGAACTATCTTGCTTTGCATGTAATAAGTCTTATCTCATATATTAGTTTCACCTTTTAAGTTGCATTAATGAAATAAATGAATTTTTGCATGATATTTTAATTTTTCGAGTTTCACCTGTAGCTTGGACAACAAAAATCTTTGGTGCAGAAGACAGAGTTGAGGAGGAGGGCAATAAGCAGAGGCAATGCATAAGGACGGGGAAGCAAATAACATTCAAGATGGGTTTGCCAAATGGTTGTAGAAATAAAAAGGGAATTGCTTTATTTGCAGCCCTTTGTAAACCAAGCAAACATGCTAATCGATGAAGCATGCAATGAAAATGCTATTTTCATTTTGGGGGATTGTACTGAGGCAGGCTCTATTTGTTCCATACAAAGGTAAACAACAGGTAGAAGCAGATTTTTTTCAAGGGAAATCTGGAGTAGAAAAACAGCTAAAGTTTAGGTGCTTCCCTGCCTTTCGTAGAACAGAAAAATATAGAATTATTTACCACTATAGTGACACAGATTTATTTGCAACTATTAGTCATAATAGAATTGTTCACAGGCTCCTCTTCCCAATCGCTTTCAAAAGTTGCTTCTCAGAAAAGTAATTCAAGGTAAGCTCTTGTTACATATATATATATACTTGAAACAAATAATTCTATGAAAAGTGATAGCTGTTAACAAAGAATTACCTTGTTCTTATGGGCATATATACATTATCAATTGCTTACTGCTATCTTTGACTATAATAGGTTTTTTTTCACCTTAGCTAGCTTGTCTTGCTTTTAAGTTTATAATATAAATGGAGAGAAGGGTAAATGCCGATAGGAGACTAAATGGAAGGAAGAAACTACTAAGCCTAATTCACCTTGAAATATGTTTATGATAAAATGGATTCCAATTATTCCTGATTTTGCAAGAACTGTTTACTTAACATTGATAAATCCAAACAGTTATTAATAAAAGACATCCTGTAGCCCAAATGAAAATAAATAGATGTGCATTCTGTGACCGATTGCATTCTCTCTGTCTTTTTTAAAGTGTTTTTTAAATGTAGTTCTTAAGCAAACAGGTTCCTCTGGTTAGCCACTAGAACTGTCTGGCTTTCACGCCTCTTGGTCTTCTTGTGGTGCTGGCGGATTTTCCAGCATAATGCACTTGACACCAGCAAAAAGAGTCCAGATGACAAGAGAACCAAACCAAGCACGGAGATGATGGATCCATGGGAGTTGAAGCTATATGCCACCGCAGTGACCACCACCCCAGCAATGAGAATCACCACCCCAAATGGGATTGTACAGCGGTAGCAGGAGAGTTCAGCTCCCCCTGTAGCAGCCGTCAGTTGGCATTCACTCACCAAAGGGACAGCTATTACCCTGTAGTCATTGTTGTTGCTTTTCTCCTGTGTTGCACACTGAGGACACTTGGAGCTTCCCAAGATCTCTTTAATAGGCTCGTCTGTCATCTTGCAATGTTTGACTAGCTTCTCTTGCATCAATGCTGAGGCTTGGGTGTTGTTTGAAAGGTTTCAGCTGTGAAAAGGAAATGGATTTGAATGCATGAATATTTCTGGACTATCTCTAGAAACAGGATGGACAATCTGCAGCCCCACATCTCTTTAACTCCCAGAGTCCTTTCTAACCCAGAGTCCATGGAATTTTGAATTGAGAAAGCAAATTGCATTATAAAAGTCTTAAAATAACATGAAACTACTTGCAGCATCCCAACAAATCCAAGAATAACCTGGACTCATTTATTTGCTACAACTCTTCCTATGGTACCCCTTATTCTTTCCTGGATAATGTTAAGACCATAGTCTACTTCAGGGGTGAAATTTAGCAGGGTCTGACAGGTTCTAGAGAACCGGTAGCGGAAATTTTGAGTAGATCGGAAAACCGGCAAATTCCACCTCTGGCTGGCCCCAGAGTGGGGAGGGAATGGAGATTTTGCAGTATCCTTCCCCTGCCATGCCCACAAAGGCATGCCCACAGAACCGGTAGTAAAAAAAAAATTGAATTTCACCACTGGTCCACTTCCAGATCACCATTGGGAGACAAAAATATTTCCCCCCCCCACAGCTATTATTCCTAACCTTGGAGTAATTGGCAAATCCTGTCATTTGTTTTGTTGAAAGCTAGGAGGAAATTAATCTTTCAAATGCAATTCGGAGCCATCTTCTGTGTTTTTACATTTCTAACTTAAAACTCAGACATTTCTCTACTACAATTTTGTAGTGATTCATTTGTTGTAATTTAATAATTGTGAGTTAGAATATAGATTGAGTAGTAAAAACGGCATAAGGAAATATTTTTGAAGTGTTAACAGGACAATCATTGGAATTGTTCAACATAAGTGCAACTGGTGTTCATCCAAATATTATGGCATAAATGGTATCATAATATTGAAAGATACAAAAAAAAAGTATCAAGACCAGCAATTTCTTCTACATCTCCTGTACAGGTAAGGAATAGTTCCAGCTTTCTCCATAGCACATCTATATTATTTTGCATGCACAGTGAGAACATACAAACTCTGGTGTCTCTAGTTACACAATGTATCAACAGCAGGTGAAGGGAAGGTCCTCTGCTGAAGATCTTTTTTTCTCCATGAACAGTGGTAGATCACTTCTTCTGATGGCCATTGCACTTCTTTTTATAACTTATACTATATATTATGTAGGACTGTTGGGAAGGGCTTGGTTAGCTGTGGTGATCCAAATATAGAATGTTATTTGGCTACAAAATTTCACTGGCTTCAATTCTGATTAATGTATTTTTGGTTATTTATACATTTTTGGATTTTTAATAGGACACACTAGGAACGTAATAGCATTGTGTTCTTTTGTAGTGATTGGTGTGGAACTGTTTAATTGATCCTGAAGTTTCTGATTCAGTTTGGGTTTGAAATAGTTAAAGAAATATGGGTTGATCTCTGATCATCATATAAAATTTGTTTTTGTTTTTACTGATGCCACTGAAATCAAGGAGAAAAAGAGAAAGTTGATGTAGAACTGTCAAGTTTTAACTTATTCAGGTCAGTGCCTCAATAGAACTAACTACCATATACTTTGCGGGTATCTTTTACTTATTGAAAACATTTACTCTGAGCGTTTCCAAACCTTAAGGCAGTTTCCAACAATACAACAATGAAAATAAAAAAATATTTGAGATTTTTTCAGGCTACTAGACTGCACAGCTCACACAAGGCAAACTGATCCCCTACTGTTTGTATGTGCAGCCTTCTCCCAGTCATTTGCAAACAGTCATTTCCTTCCAGATAGAAGAAAAGCAGGGAGCATGAATGTTTACAACATCTGCTAATTATGGCTTTTACGAAAGCACTGACACTTTCCCTGGCCAGTCTGAAAAACTCAGTGGAAAAGAGGTAAGAAGAGGGAGAAAAATATTTCCAATTTAAGATAGCAGAATCAAATACCATGTTAGACCAACACTCCTATTTATACCCTAATTAGGAATAATCTCAGCATAAAAATATTTTAATGAAATATTCATTTCCGTTTTTGGAGAGCAACCAAACATGAATTATTCTAGCACAGCGGGACTGGAGTGATACTACTGTAGTGCTATACACTGCTGAATGTGTATTTTGCTACTATTCTTAGATTTTTATCCCATCTTTATATTTAGTTAACTTAAGGCAGCAAACATATCTATTCTCCAAATTCCTATTTTCTCCACAACAACTCTGAGATATGGATTGGGTCAAGAGAAGAACTGGCCCAAAGTTACCAGGCTAGCTTTCATGTTAAAAGGAGGCCTAGAGCTCACACTCTTCTGATTTCTAGGCCAGCACCTTTATCCTCACATCAGATTGGCTCTCCATTTCCCCATTGGAAGTCACCATTTGTAAAGTAAAAGTCAAATAACAAGGTTTGTTGGTTTTTATTTAATATTATGGTAGACATTTTAGTTTAGAATATGTGGTCTCTTATGAATGAACTAGCTTACTGTACTTACACACACACATATGCCCCACCATGGCCATCAAAAATTGAATACTGATTTTTAATTTACTTTATAATCATGATTATGTTTCATTCTATTTAAAAGAACAATTATTTTCTCAGTCATAACAAAACAATAAGAATGCTAACAAAATGTTTAAATCATATTTGTCCAAGTATCTCAAAAGGATACACCCAATGTTCCTAACATGTTAATATATTATATAAGTATATAACCAAGGGTGTATTGATAAAATCCACCTCGCAGTCTCTTAATTAATAAGGTAAAGACACTTTGCATTTTATATTCATGCTATGGCGATAATCAACTGAGCCCTACTAATGCAGTTGTTTAAATATTACATGGCATGGACTTGTGGAAATGTGTTTCAACAGCACAGAAACAAATAAGGATTTAGATAGAATAACTTTAATATTCAAGGACCAGCCAAAACATCTTATGAAAAGAAGTTCATAGCAAGAGAGGCTCACTAATGATATCCATTCCAACTTAAGGTGCTTTTGAAAAGTCATGATTTAATGGCCTTCTCAAAACTAACAGAATGGAGGACAACCTAATTTTGGGAATCTGCTGCTTCAAAATGAAATCTGGGATTGAGAAGGTTCATTCCTGCAGCATCTAAAATGACAATCTTTAAAAGAGAGAGCTCACCCTACCAGGCAAAAAGCTATGGAGGACTTTAAAGATGACATTGAATAACATCTAGAAAAGAACAAGCACCCCATACAGCTCTTGAAATAGAAGTGTTACTTGGGAGAAACGTAAGGCTTCCTCCACTCTTCAAGCCAATGCAGTCAATGCATTCTGAATCAATCTAAGCTTCTGGATGCTCTTCAAGGGAAACCTCACATATATTGCAGTAATTCGGTAACAAGCTGTTGTGTTCTGAGCTTGCGCTGACTAGAGGTTTTGAGCGGGAAAGCGCTCGACAGCCGATTGGCTGATCGTTTGACAGCTCCTCTATAAATAGGGAGCTGTCCAAACGAGCAGCGCGCGTTCCTATCTAAGCCGGTTCTGAAGTGTTAGCTTGTACTTTAAGGGAATAAACTTGTTAGCCTTTTATTCCTGTCTCTGCCTCAGTTCTTCTGGCTACCCACAGGTCCTTGGTACACACCACTGGCGACGAAGGTGGGATTGCCAAACTGAGGTACGAGAAGCTGAAGTCACTGATAGCTGAAGTCACTCGCTGAGTCACTAGAACCGCGCTTAATCATACCGCGACGAGACGTCGTTGGTTCTGACAGGAATGGCCACGTTAAACTTCGCGCCATTCAACTATGGCGCCGAGACATGGGAGTCGTACACGGCTCGATTTGAATGCTTCCTGGTCGCACACGACCTTACCGAGCTGACAGATGAGAGGAAATGCGCGTTTTTCTTGTCCGTGTGTGGCTCAGACGTTTTCCACACAGCCAGAGCTCTGACAGCTCCTGACCCTATTAAGGCCGTTCCGTGGCCTGAGCTAATGGCCAAACTGAAGAGCCATTATGCTCCGTCCCCGTCCAAGATAGCCAGCCGGCACGCCTTCCATCAGCGCAGCCAAGCTGAGGGGGAGTCCGTGAGTGCCTACGTTGCTGCCCTACGATCCGCCGCCCTGCACTGCGAGTTCCGGGACTTAGATGAAGCCCTTCTCGACCGTTTAGTGTGTGGCCTCCGCGACCTCAAACTACAGAAGAGGCTTCTAACAAAATCAGACTTGTCGTTCCAGAAAGCCTTCGATGAAGTTCGGGCCTCCGAAATAGCTGCTGCTTCCCTAGCCACCATCGCGAAAGCCCGGGCCGCCAACGCCGC